TGATACTGGATTTCCAGGACTTCCAGGCCTACCAGGGCTTGCTGGACATGATGGTGATGATGGCCTAGCAGGTACTCTTGTCAAACAAGCTCAAGGAGCATAGCAACTTATTTTAAGGAAAGGGAAGCCAAGTCAAACAATGTTGACTTAGAGCCTGAAACTTCCACTGAAATAATTGTGAATCCAGTCTCCTTTCTTTTAGGGGATCGTGGCTCACCTGGAGTTCCTGGAGATCCAGGTTTTCCTGGGAAACCTGCTGAATGTCGTATTGGTCTGCCAGGTTTGCCAGGTGGCCAGGGAGCTACAGGCCCACCAGGTAGGACCTTCTGAATCAAATATATCATTTGGCCGGGTGTGTCTGGCTTGTGTTTCTGCCTTCCAGTGGCCTGAGGGAGCTGAAGTTGTTTCTGGATATTGGTTATAGGATAGTACGCAAGAAAATGTGAGCCCATTTAAAAGATGCACTTTGTGCAGATGGGAGGAAACACATCCACTGATTAAGATGGATTAGGATTCATATTCCGTTGTACAGTTCAGAGTGTAATCACAAGCTTGCCCAAATTCCGCAGTAAAAAGGATATTTCAGTCACGTCTCCTACATGGGGCTGAACTTAGATTCCTTTGTGCAATGTGCAATGTGATTGATAAAGAAACAAAACAGAGGAAGAGCTCAGCTAGGTAGAAAACCAGTTTAGGGTCTCAAAAGTACCTGCATATACTGTGTATGATTTTTTGTTCCAAAAGAAGAAGCACATTTGGGTACCCAGCACAGTCCTCCTCCTATATATGATCTCAAAAGGATTTTTTTTTTAAGAGAATGGATGCAGAATTGGTGGGGTTTTCGTGTTTGGACTTCTTTTTCTGAGAAAGAACAGAATTGTCTACTCTTGCCCTTTTTTTTTTGCCCTTTAAAACAAAAACAACCCACAACTCTTTTTAAGATTTCGTGAACGTGTATGTTGTCTTACAGATCTAATGTTTAGCCCTCAAACCAGCAGACTTCAAGAAGATTTTAATGCTTGTAATGGCAAGATAGAGATGAAGGTTTATTTTCCAGACAGCTGTATCATACTACACTGTCATGCATTTTTCTTAGGAGGAAGAGGTTCACAAGGTTCAAAAGGAAAACTAGGTCCTCCTGGCTTGAGTATCCCAGGAATCTATGGAAAACCTGGGGAACCTGGATTAATAGGTCTTCAGGGAAATACAGGATTGCCTGGTCCCAAGGGACAGTCTGGAAGACCAGGAATCTCTGGTGTGCCAGGTAAGGCTTCTCCAAATACTTGTTTTGATGTAGAAATTAAGTCAGACTCTGCAAAAAGGTGTCAGTCGTGCTTTTCCAAATTGAAGATGCTGAAATATTTTTCCATCAACAGCTTTCATATATCATTGAGATCTATATGGAAAACAAATAAATCATCATGCTCGAAATGACGAGCATATCTTGAAGCTGTCATGGTACAGTACTGAATTTTCTATAATAGTCTTCCAAGAGGAGACGGCGACCTTACATTGTTTTTTGTACAAGACGTGTTCTTGCAAAAGAACATAAAATAGTTAACATTCAAAGCAACCACCCAGCATAATGGAAGTGTAAATTGTTTAGTTCTTACTCGGCATCCCTTTTCAAACAGATAGCTTGTCAATGCTGTCTTCTTTTTCTTAAAAAGCAAATTCATGTCTTGAGTCTGACAGAGTTTAGTCAGATCAAGCTCTGTCAGGTTAACCAGAACTAGCTTTAAGTAAGGTAATCCTTGTAGGTGTTTTTCAGAAATGTGTTCAAATTTGATTTGTAGAATAAATCAGGTATGTAATGCTTCTTACCTCTAACAAAGATTTTTCACTAATGTCAAATCCTTCATTATTCTGTGGGAAGGAGATGGTACATACTGTTTTATATATACAACCTATAAAACTAACGATAAACATGTACCACTTGACTCAGTTATGCAAACCTAGCCTTCTGATGTCATTTGAGGGGAGTTGTCTTGTCCCAGCTGGCCTTCAACTCCTGAGCCAGAAAGGAATGTCTTTCCCATACATCCTATGACAGGTCTTCCATCCCTATGTGGTTACCTCAGATACCCTCATTGTCAGTTATTTCATTCATTGACAGAAGCTGTCATAGCTGCTAATCAGGTAGTTCGGCGGTTACTTTATGTGTAAGTGCTATTCATGCAGTTAAAGATTGAAAAACTGGCTTGGACACTATGTTATAGAAATGGAGAAAAAATAAAATAAGCAATTAAACACTTAAATGACAGGACATAGTTTTCTGAAGTAATGTTCTGTTTCACTGATAAAATACTAACAAATATGTTCCTATTGCTTCAATTCCACAGGCGCGAGGGGAGAGCCAGGTACAATGGGCCTGTTAGGAATTCCTGGACCCCCTGGCATGATTGGAAGACCAGGCAACCCGGGTATCAGAGGCAAGTGGCCTTAGTATCTGCCTTCATTATTACTTAGAATATATGAACTTCCGTGCTGAAGTAGTCTTGTGATGCATCTTGATGTATGTTATCACTCCTGAGTACATGTGTCATACTGGAATTTCTTTGAGTCTTGTAAGTCTTTGGTTTCTGTGTATGTGCAGTCTACCAACTAAATGCCAATGTTATTTTGTTGTTTTTACAGTTTTGAATTGGTAGTTGTAAAAGTGGCTGGCGATTTGCTAAATCAAGAGCAGAGAACTTTTTTGCTCTATTACTTTTCCATCCCATTCATGTTCCAAATACAGATATATTCAGCAGATAGAAGATTATACATATTCAGTATAAGAAGTAATTACCATCTCTTGCCATAATCTGTGCTCATTGGAGTAATTAAGAAGCAAATTTAGGTTGTGGATTTGGAATTTATATTTACATATGTAGTTGCCCTTGAAGACAGGAGTTTCATTGCTTCCTTTATGCTATCGTCTAGTCAGATTTCTTCAGAAAACTTCATTATATTTTCTTTCAGGTTCTTCTGGCTTTCCAGGACTAAAGGGAAGAAAAGGGTTTCTTGGAGCAAAAGGCAAACCAGGTGATAAAGGTTTTCCTGGACCATCTGAGACTTTGGTTGGTATTGGGAATAAAGGAGAACAAGGCTTAAAAGGTACACATTCATTGTTCTGTCATTCAAAACTAGTTAAGGTTGTCATCTGTGTTGCAGTTCTAAAACATGGAAGAAAATTACCACTGAGAGTATTCACATGGCTTTGAAATAATTCTTGTTGGACACTCTAACTGCCTTTGTATTTATGGAATGGTTGGATATTACACTGAATATTTATTTCCATTTTAAGAAGTCCATATTCCTTAAAAATCCTCTTACTGTAATGTTAAACCAGTAATTATATGATAGTAGTACTAGGAGGCTTATATACATTTATGCTATACATTCATCTTTTTACACGTTTAGTAGCCCATGAGCACAGAAATGGGTGTGCAGAGAAATTGAGTCTGCTTAGAAATACCTGTCAGAAGAATTCCTTTGTTTGCAATATTAGTATAGACTCTCTGTATATGAACTGTACATGCTTAACTAATGCTATGTGGCTTTTTGTGTAGACATTTTCATATGGAAGCTTTCAGAAACTTCCTTTTGTCTCCATAAGAGAAATATGGAAGGCATTAACTGTGAGCTTGTGTCTTTGTTACATGTGTTCACAAAGTGAAAATCCTGTGTTCCTCTTCTGCTTCATTAGCTTTAAGAGTTATAAAACTTTAATCTTTACATAAAACTTGTATTCTAAGATGTTGTTCTGTAATTTTTTTTTAAATGAAACTTTGTTTTAGGAGTTCAAGGAAGAATGGGTCTAAAAGGAGAAAAAGGAGATGCTGGTGTGCAAGGTCCCCCAGGTCTTGATGGGTCTGAAGGAATACCTGGTCTACCAGGTATGGAATATGTATATTGCAAATTACTGTATCATGTGAAGAGCAGATATAATATTCCCTCAATGCTAGCTCATAAACTCAGCTCCAGCAGCAGCACTACATTCTCTGTATTAATGCTGAATCCTGAAACTGGGCGATTTCAAAAGCTGCTATTTGAAAGTCATAGCAGCTACCACCAAATGATTTTTTGTTTCCTTCCAAATATAGACCATTGTTTGTGGTGATAAATAGAAAATAATATTAACTCCTGAATAATAATAACCTTAAAATCTAAAAGCTGATGAGGCAAATGAATAAAAATCAGTATTTAGAAAAGGGAAGTTAGAATTCCCAGTATTATTAAAAAAAAAAGTAAGAATCCCAAAATACGAACATTACAATTGTGCACAAAAACATTTCAGAAGCTTTTTTTATTTCAGATTGATTTTATTTCCCTTTTCAAAATCTACATGTTTGGCTTGTAGTTTGAAAGTTACTGGATCATCAGTGAAAAGCAGACTTAGAAAGAACCTACATGAATTATAAAACTACCTAAGCAATTTCACAAAGTTTTGCTCTGCCATTACCATAACCTCATACATAATGATACATGTTGACCTTTGAGAGACCATGCATCTGTTTTTTTGAAATTAATGCTAATAAAACATCTTTACTTCCCTGTATTCTGTATTCTTGATTCTTTGACATAACTTCTTTCTGGAAAACCATATGACACTATAATTAGATACATAAAAATGGTGACAATTAGAAATAATTTTAAATTGGTAATCAAAGTGGCTCCTCTCATGATGGCAATTATCCATGCTATATGTCATTATAGCATCACTGCTATATTCTGTCCTTAACATCCTTTGTAGTCATTGCAGTGTAGCCATCACAGGAAAAACTGCAAATGTTCCACTACTCCCTAACTTTTTATGGAAGAAAATAAGACCTCACCTTCCTAAATGTTCAGGCATTGCTAGTACCCTGGAATTTAGACATCTGGACATTCTAGATGCAACTAGATCTTGCAGTCATTAAACTGAGTGCTAATTTTGCTAAATTAAGCTAAACATAAATGAGCGGGGCAAAAAGTGCCTAAGCCTTATAAGAAAAAGCTCTTGAGAATACTAGTTGTGATAATTGCATAACGAGTAAGTAGTAATTTGATTGTGAAATGCCCAGAAATCAGACTGAACTCAGGGACAATGAAAGGAGAGTCCAGTGCATAAATACAGATTCATGATCTTGATCAAAATTTGCCAAAGTATGTTTCAGTTGCTACCCCTAAGTGCTGTGGTCACAAACCTTAATTTTAATGTTGATATATAAGGTACTTGTTATTTCCTTGAATTTCTGACGACAATAATGATAATTTTATCTGTGTCTGGGGCAGGAGGCTGCATGTTGATTTATAAAATAATAAGATGCCATGACAAGCTGTGCGTTAGAGGATTCTGTATTCATGACAGCTCTACCAGCCAGCCAGTGTCTAAAGCAGACATGTGAAGATTACACTTGTTTCTTCATCTTGCAGGTATCAAAGGATTTATGGGTCTTCCAGGGATTCCTGGAGGACAAGGATTCCCAGGTGCACCAGGAGACAAAGGGGACATGGGAATTCCAGGTCATTTTCTCTTAAGCCATATTACAAATTCACACAGTAGTATGGAAGCATTTGCACAGATCTGAGCAGTTACTGTAAGCGCACTACACGATAGACTGGGATTTATTCTTTGCAGTACCTATAGACTTCTCACCACCCCGGCATTTGCTTGACTTGCAGAAGGCAGTTCTCCCTCTCTCTGAATGAAATATAACTTCTTTCATTTATATATATTGTTACATGTAAGAACCTCTTTTTAATGAGCTTACAAATAAAAGCACCGGCTGTGTAAATTATCTTTAAAGAAGAATTAATATCTGAATATACAAGCAGTAGTTCACAAAACACAAGGTGTGGGATGCAATTAGGCTCCTTTTAAGAGTGGTACTAGTATCTGTATTTTTCCAGGTCCAAAAGGACAGAAGGGATCTCCAGGCTTTCCAGGACCATCAGGTGACCCTGGTCCACCAGGCTATGGTGGCTTTCCAGGTAACAAAGGAGATCCTGGGTACCCATCTCCTGGGCCTCCCGGAGAACCTGGTCCAAAGGTATAAAGGCAATGGAAACATTATCATATTAGGCAATAAGCAGAGCCTTTGACTAACAGAAACAACATGTAAGCAAGAGCTGCAGAGTTTGCAGAAGTAGGTGATTTCTTAGTGATAAGAAATACAAAAATACTGTTGTGGCATTACTCTGGAGAAATTTTTGAGTTCATTACATCTCTTTTTTCCCTTAGTGAAAGAATTTTTTATTTATAAAGATGGAAGATCTTGGAAATAACTTTGTTTCTGTGGAAGTTGCTAATCCATTAAGAACAAGGACTTGGACTTGAAAAGTCAACAATAGGAATACTCATACATTAAAAAGTTCAGAAAAACATAATCGTACCAAATGCAAGTTTTGTAATCTAAAATTGGTCTGGTTTTTTACAGTCTATCAATATCATTACACAAGCTGAATTGTTTTTTTCTTAGCAATATATATTATGTTCAGTATATATTATGTACAGTAATATATATTGCTAAGAAAAAAAACCAATATCTTTTAAGTTAGGTCAATTGGGTACACTTTTACTCTACATATTCTGGTTGTTGAACAACTGGGAGTCTTGTTACATAGGAGATTATCTAAAATACACAGTTGAGGCTGTAAACTCTACTATAACTCCTGTAATCTGTTTATTTTCTGTATTAGCTGGGTAGCCACAATGAGATTATTGTCATGAAAGTCAGTCGGAATTCAAGGAAAAATATGCAATTTGGTATTTTGTATAGCTGCATATTATATAAGGATTGTGTGCTTGGATCAAAAGAGAAGCTGTTAGAATAAAATTGAAAGTAAGTCTATATACCAGTGAAAACATCTAAAGACTGAAATTGGTTTGTACAGATTAAAGAGAGATCTTTTTTTCTTAGCTATGTTTAAAGCATTAGTGGTATTACGAGAAGACTTCATATTGGTCTACTTTGATTTTTGTCTGAAAATCATAATGAACCATCATTACACTTAACCTTTAAAATTATGTATAATTTTTCTGTTGTTCAAATATGGAACGTAATGTATTTAATGTAAAGTGATTCTTTACCTGGTTTTGTGCAACTGCTACTTCTCAGGGAGATCCAGGCCCCCCAGGAGTTTTGGGCAGCAATGGAGAAAAAGGATCCCAAGGTCATCCAGGACAGGAAGGCATACCAGGACCACAAGGGATCAGAGGGGAAACTGGAGGTGTAGGAATCCCAGGTACGTTTTGTTTTGGAGGGGTGGTGAGATGTTGACATACTTCTAAAAGAAGATAATTTTTCAATAAATTACACAGGGTGCCTGTGGGGTGACACATTTATATTCAACTGCTGTAAAACCTGAAGAACTCCTTTGTAGTCAGTGCAGCCAGGCTAGCTTATGTCAGCTAGAGATCTTTTGCAGCTGTTCGAAGCACAAATGATAGCAAAGTTCTCAGAATGAGTCTAGATCTAGTGATAATGCCTTTTCTCCTCTCCCACAACCTTTCTTCTTACAGGGAAGCTTGGACCTCCTGGAGGTATTGGTGTTAAAGGACGGCAGGGCCGCCCAGGACAACAGGGTGTTGCAGGCCCTCCTGGTATGGTATATAGCATCTCCCCCAAATTACTGCCACCTGGTTTATTTTCTTTGTAACGAGGCAGTTGATGTTCTTCTGAGCTTTTCAGAATTTAACTGATGCAAATGCAGTTTCTCTTTATGTTAGTTGGAGGCTTTGTCTACCTTCTCTGGTTCTAGCTAAGGTCTTTAACATCCTGTTTTCAATGTTACCTGTTCAGCTAAGGCAAGAAGTTTTAATTTTCTTTCAGTATTGTAAAGCTTTTTGCTTTTTTTTTTTTTTTATACAAAGGTCTCAAGATGTGATATCCACACAATTGTAGGAAAGGCTTGTTCTACCTCCTAAAAGAATAATAAACTAAGATGTAGCTAGATGAGGAGGAGAGGAAAACGAATTCAGGAGAAAAGAAGGGACAGAGTTGTAGTTATTTGCTAAAGCAACAGAAAAGATCAAAGCATTCAAAACATACATAAGGGAGAGCATGTAAATATGCAGCAACAGAGAGGCATGCAATGCAGACTTTAATAAAATGCCAGTCATTGTCTTCAAAAAGAGCATTGAATGCTCTTACATTCAGTGATCCTCATCAAAATTATGACATTGTGGTTTTGTAAACTTGAGTGAACTTGCACTAACTTATCAGCAGAGTTAGCAAAGATCAGAATCCACTCCCTGTTTAAAGAAATCTTGAATTTGTAAAATAGCCAGGTAGAGAATCCCCAGTGCCTGCGTGGATTCCAACCAGCATGGGTTAAATCAAAAGCAGGGTCCTAAAATGTCTTTGAAAGACAAGAGGTTATTGCCCGTGAAAATAGTGGGGGTGTTAAATCCATTGCCAGCGAGCTCGATAAAAATTATGTGCTGCTCTTTGCAAGTGTTTGTATACCAACACAGTTATATCTTTGAAGTATCTAAAATGATTAAATTTTAATAAAGGGGACTCATATCTTTTCCCTTTGAAATGCAAAATAATAGAAGTAAAAATGATATTATGGTCCATTATAATTCACAGGTGCTGTTGGAGACCCTGGAAAAAATGGTCTTGTTGGTGAAAGAGGTTTTCAAGGTCAGGATGGTATGCCTGGTCCCCCGGGAATAAAGGGAGAACCAGGTAACACCAGTGAAATATTTCCATTCTATTTTACAGTTGTTTTTTTTCCTAGTTAAACTGACAAGGATTTTTTGTGAAGAATTAATAACGAGCTTCTGTGGAGCCAAAGATAAATTTATAAGTAGATGGTTTTCCACTTTTACATAATTAATGGGGTTTTTTATGTAATTGTTGTACATGCTATCAACAACCAAAATGCATATGTCACTGCTCTCTTATACATGTGATTTGTCATAACATCACCTAAAAATGTTAGTGTCTGCAGGAACTACAGTATTGCTGTTAACAGTTCTTATGTGTTTAATCTCAAAGAGATGAAAGGAACGAAAATCCTTTTGAAGGAGTCTCCCCTCTTATGTGGAAACAGGATAAAAGGAATCAGAGTGTTTACTTACATGAATAGTGAAGGTTTCCATGACCTGGCCCTTGGCTTGTAAAACCTTTCATTTAAATGTCACTGCTGATGTCATCAACGTTCACAGATAGATTTAGTCCTCCACTGTATTCTGATGGAAAGTGTTTTCATATTTTACAGTAAAAATGTTTCTTTGCATATTAGTATAAAGAGAATACTGAGAAGGCATTCATTGTATTTAGTAAGTTTTTTCATATTAAGTTTGAAGTTATTGAATTAACTTATTTTCTTTTCTAGGTATTTACATTTATTCTTCTATTTCTGTTAGTAAATAACTTATATACAGATTTTTATTCTGTCTTTTTTCATCTGCAAAAAGATAAAGCTTATTATTGTAGAATGTACCTCAAATATGATCGATCAATAAGAGCTCCTACTATAAAGAAAAACTTACTAATTTAATTTGTATTTCTGGGTAGAAGAAAGTGAAATAATCAATTATATTTTACATATAACTAAAATCTACGTTTTGATTCAGAGAATTGTGAAGAATTGTATGAAATATTAGACAACTATGATGTTTTCTAACAATTATTCAGGACTTTGAGTATAATATGACCTAATATTTTATAGGAGCACCAGGGAGAGGAATCCCTGGCCTTCGAGGTATTCCTGGTCGTAGAGGTGAGTTGTCTTTTCAGAAAGCAAAAGCTTCATTTTTAAATATCAGAATCATAATCTTCAACTTTTATGTTGCCTCCTGTTTTTGGATGCTTGAAGTGGCACCAAGAGTATCAGAGGAAATCAAGAGTGAATCTGTGCTTTTGATCAATGATTTGGTGCTTTATATTAAATGTCAACAGTTCTTGCTGGTAAAGTTAAGACTATTGTAAAAGGGAAGTAAATAAGCTAACTTGTATGGTTTTATGAAGGTGATATACACATTCTAAAGCTTTTGAAATTTTATTTTTATATGTAACTTGATTAGCAAGAGTGCGTTCTAATGAAAACAGATGATGATCCTGAATACTAAGCATACTGTAGGAAAGCTGCAGTGATTGCATTTTTTGTTCCTCTCCCCTTTTATATCGATGAACAGTTGACCGAGGGGACTCTTCCCATATTTTAGGTTTTGCATTGTAATTCTATTACTGGTAGAAATCCATTGATTTGCTTTACTTTAAAGAAAATTATCTTTTCATATCCTCCATGTATAGATCATGCACTGTAAGATTGACCTTAGAACAATATCCTTTTGGAGCAGTCTCTGTTGTAAGCATCGTGTTGATGCTTTTATCTGGAATTTAGTTTTAAAAGATTTGCCATTTCTAATGTTCAAATAAGCATTTCTTCTGCTTATGCATCAATAAATATTCCCTGCTCTGGTCTTTCTACCCTCCTCTCAAGTTTATTCCTTTGTATGAGCAATCTCTGAAGTGGAGAGGAAAAAGGGAAAAAAACAGACTGGTGTGTACCCAGCCTTGCAGTGAGTCCTGTCTTCTCACAACTATTGTGCTTTACAGTAGCAAGGTGGCTTTGAGGACTTCTCCGTACTGAAATCAAAGGCTGAATTCCACCTTTGCGGTGTAGTAAATGCATGTATTCTGTGTAGTCACCTCATCTTACCATCTTGACAGCTCTCTGCGAATGCAATACTTATACTTTGCAGGAATCAAAGGGGACATGGGACTGCCTGGTTTTCCTGGGCCACCAGGTGTGAAAGGTCATCGGGGTGATCAAGGACCCGTTGGACCTCCTGGCTTAGTGGGGTTACCTGGATTTCAAGGCACAACAGGCATGGCAATTACTGGCCAAAAAGGGAACAGAGGTGTTGCTGGTGCAGATGGAAGACCAGGTATGTTGTTATAACTCCTTATTTAGCTGAAATGATATAATTGAAAGCAGAAGTCAGCCTGTCCAGAACTCAAAGTTGAAAGGGGTCTTCCCCCAAGACAGCTTCATAATTAAACAGGTACCTTTACCAGTGAATGCAATGTTACCATTGCAAACACCATGATGGTCTATGCAGTGTCATGTAACTTAATTTGCAGCCCACTCAATTACATTATTTTGCTTTCTTTCCATGTGGTCTATAGGGCAGCTGAAATCCAACTTTAGAGAATTGAGACGGCATGAATGTGTAGATGTGGCACTTTGAGACATGGTTTAGCGGTGGACTTGGCAGTGTTAGGTTTATGGTTGGAGTCAATGATCTTAAAGGTCTTTTCCAACCTAAATGATTCTATGATTCTGTGATTACAGGCATCACTGTAACAACTGGAGGATATTCAAAAAACTGTAGTGCTATAGAGTACTGCAAGAACTCAGCTCAGATCTCAGATTAAATTAGCAGGCTAGGAAAAATGACTTGATTTTTAAAATGGGTACATTTCCTTGCGAATCACTGAGGTGGTAAAGATGAGTACCATTATAGGGTCATTGAATGTTTAACTGCATGGTACGTAATGTATGTGAAATGCTGTTGGCAGGAGTCTTTACTTACTCTGATGTTTCTGTACAGGTGCTCCTGGTTTTCCAGGGCCTCCTGGTCTTTCCACTCCCAGCATGAAAGGAAGCAAAGGTGTTAGAGGGGCAGATGGCATACCAGGGCCAACAGGCCCAGCCGGCGACATTGGTCTTCCCGGTCCAAAAGTCAGTGAAAGAAATATTGCTTGTTCCTTACTCCATTGTTAATTTGCTCTTACCATGAAAATAACACTGAGGACAATTTAAAAGCAAACAAACAAACAGCAAACCAAAACAAAAAGCCCCACATCCTCCCCAAAAGACCTCGTAATAGTGGAAAGATATGACAAAGGATATGAAAAGTAGTTTTTATGGACTTAAGTGGACCAAAAATAAATTATTGTTAATTTTTGGCTTATCATTTCCTTGGCTGTTCTGTATTACAGAATAATATTAATTATATGACCATTTCTAACATGCTCACAAGTGGAGCAGATAATTCTAGTAGTAGCATATTCTGTGAACGTAATGCTTTGAATATTCTGAACAAAAAAGAAAATCTTCTTCATAGCATGCAGATGCTGCTTCCATTTACTATTGGTGTTACCTGATTTGCAGGGAATAGAAGGTCGATCAGGTTATCCTGGTGCTAGAGGGGACCCTGGATTTCGTGGATTTCCAGGTGTAAAAGGTATTCATATATTCATTACATACACTTCTATGTGCCAAATGCAATCATTTACATGTTGTGTTATAATAGTATTTGTGCAATAGCACCAGGTGTGGTCTGAGAGACATGAGGTTTCTCCATCAAGAGCAGGGTGTAGGTCAGCTATAAATGAAAGCGTTCACTAAGAAAGCATTTTCTTTGAGTTAGATGTTATGGTGTTAAAGTGAGGAAGGGCTGAAACTCAGTGGTCTTCATTCCAGGCAAATTCAAAACAAGTTTGCCCATAGTGACTAATAATGGGTAAGGACTTTGGGACTGAGTCTGATAATTAGAAATGCCACTCCACAGATGTGACTTTTTGGCAACCTCTTAGCTATAGAACTTAAGAGCTTTTAATCATAGTTACAACACAGAGCACTGGGTCCTCTGTTTGTCGTAAGAATAGTTCCAAGTCTAATCTAATTGACCAGTTTATCAGCAGACGAACTTTGAAATGTATTTGCTTCATTAATTTCATATTCTTGAGGGCTAGTTGGATCAGTAGCTGGCTAAAAATCCTTTTAATTTAGACATTTTTCTAGTGATTTAAATCTGATACAGGTTTGCATTACTCAGTATTCTCATTTTTCAGTTGAATTATTTACAGTGACACGAAATTGTCATTACCTGTTTAACCTACTGATTTGTGTTCCATGCTAATTATTGTGGATTTAAATTTGTTCTAATTTGAAAAGTCAGTGTACAGACAGTAATTACACTTTCTTAAGGAAAAAACTCTCATTTTGTGGCATAGTCAGCCAAGTCTCCTGACTTGATGATAAAAATACTATTTTTATTTCCAGGAGCTGTGGAGAATATTCTAAATGTAACCTCATATTTTGCACAGTGAAAAGAACTGCTTATTAAGTTTCAAATGCTTTGAAGACTGTACAACCCTCCTAACAGCTATCAGCATAACTGGGTTTAAACGGAGTTGAACTACATAGCATCATTGAAGGCAGCACTTGACCTGCAAACTCGGTGACAAAACACATAAGATAAAAAGGACACAGTCTAAAATTGAGATTTTAATCTAGGTTTATGGGACCAGCCATTATTTGAAGATAGGCATGGAAACATCTGTAAACTGAGTGGACTTGGCCTATAAATTATGCAGTAACAGAAGAGATGTAGAAGTCCACTTTCACATTTCAAATGAGTCTACAGGCTGTGTTACTCTTTGGGAAGGTTGCACAGATCATGCAGCACTCTTAAATAAGCTTCTGAAACTTTGACAGTTGTTTTGACATTTTAAACCAGACAGATCTATCTTCAATCTTCTTTTTTAGGAGAAAAGGGTAATCAAGGACCTCCTGGACCACAAGGTGCAGAAGGGCCAAGGGGACCAAAGGGCCAGCGTGGTAACCAACCCTTCTCATTCTAATACCAGCTGACTTAGGTTGATTGGTTTCATTTGTAGTTTGTTGGCTTTCTTTTAACATAAACCAATAGCTCTTCATTATGTTTTTGCTGCTAGGTCCACCCGGAGTCCCTGGGAGAATATTCTCCATCCCAGGAAGCAAGGGTCCTCCTGGACTGCCAGGAATCCCAGGAACACCGGGTGATCAAGGAATTCAAGGGATTCCTGGACTACAAGGTGGGAAAACATGCTTCTGCATAGAAAATTCATGTCTTTAAAAAAACCTCTCTGTATTTAAAAATAGCTCTTTTTACCTTGTTGACAACCTTATAACTTGTCCCAATTCCATCTGCCCTCCACCCTTGCAGTCAATGAGTAAGTTTCTGCCTCAACATAAGCCTAAGCAAAATAATGGAATAAAAAGTAAACTTGGAGCAAAACATTCACCATTTTCATATAACCAGAACCGTGCTCAGGATGTTTGTCATTTTTGGGGGGGAAATTACCACACATAATAGAAGTACTCTAGATGTGCTACAAAGTGATCATATCTGTCATAGTCTGGGGTTGGAAAGGCAAAGCTGGCTACTTCTCCGTTGGCACTAGAGGTGAAGCCTGACACAGATGTGGGGAATGGGGAACCAAGGAGCAGGGAGGATGAGGTGGGTGTGCAGTGGGTACTTGGCCACCCTTCTCAATGCCACAGCTTCCCACCCCAGGAAGGGAGCTCCTCAGGGGGGCAGGCTTGCCAGAAGACCGTTGCCTCCAGCATAACAAAGCAGGCATTAAAGAATTGTTCTTTTACACTTTCCTTAAAGATGTTTTACAAAGGAGCTGTATTATTTATAGAATTACAAACCATGACCAAGATAATTATGGCCTGTTACTAATATTTTAAGTATTTCTGTTGTATAACACATGCTAAAAAAAAGGCTATTTCCTTGGTTTCTGTAAACATTTCTTATGAGAATGATATCTTTCTGCAATACATTCAGTATTTCCTTGCAATCTTCCTGATGGGAATATGGTGACAGTAACACTACAGACAATCTCAAAACTTAGTAAATTCATGCTGATGGGGCTAATGCAGCTACATTTACATAGGGATTTTAACTTTATTCATTAACATTTATTAAAATCTAGAACAACTACTGCTATATGATTCTGATTTTTTCTTGATTGCAATTTAGGACCTAAAGGAGTAAAAGGCCTACCAGGAAGTTTTGGTCATCCAGGTCAACCAGGACCACCTGGTCCAAAAGGAGACAGGGGATTTCCAGGACAAAGAGGTACAGGAAGCAGACATCTCTATTTGACTCCTGCTATGGAATTTACAGATAAACTGTATTCCTGATTTCTTTAAAAACTTCCTCTTGCATGTATTGAGATTCTGTAACATTTACATTAGCTTTAGGGCCACAAGCACATGTAAGCACATTCTTAGCTTTTAACAGATGCATGTTCACAGTTGAAAAAATCATTTACAAAAATATGCCTTGAGTGTGCTCCTCTGTTGTTAACCACATTTATTGATCCACTTGAAATCTCTAGGTATCAGTGTGCCTTTTTATGGCATCAAAATAGAACTACATATTTTTATGTAGTCATGATCAAATGTTTTTACTCTACAACTTTTTTTTGGTAAAAATGGCCATGGTTCTTTAAAATACCTCACTCTTCAATGAAACTATGCAATATAAAGCTACCTGAGCTAGGTCTGAAGAGTTAATACATCTATCAACAAATGCTAACAATTTTCAAGTTGCACCTTCTTATTGATATTTTTTGTTAGTTTTCAAGTGGTTCCACTAATTTAAATGAAGTAAAAATTCAAACAGAATTATTATATTTGCAGTCATATATCTTTCCCCTCCACAGGACAACCTGGACTGATTGGCTTTCCAGGTCTGCAGGGGTTACCTGGATCACCAGGTACTACCATTGCCGGTCCAACAAGAAGAGGTTTTATCTTTACCCGGCATAGTCAATCAACAAAGATTCCTTCATGCCCACATGGGACATCGCAGATCTATGTCGGCTATTCACTGCTTTTTGTACAAGGAAATGAACGAGCCCATGGCCAAGATCTTGGTACTGTATTGGTAAAAAATTTCAGATTGTTTTTATTTAGAGTCCAGTAATGCTAAGTTGTCATAAAAGCAAACTCACACCAAGTGTCTGAGATGAACACTGGTTTGAAACATCAGTCTTCAGAGTGGTCTGCTGCTCTGAGACAATTCAGGAATTGTGGCTTGAAAGACACCTTTCTTTCCTGCAGTCCTTTATCCCCTTTTTGCTATCCCTAGACATTTTTGAGGAGGAAATCAGTTACTTATGGATGATGTCTAGTATAAATGTTGACATCTGCACACATGACAGTAATAACACAGGATCTGAGAGAGAATCTTGGTTTTTTGGAGACCAAATGGGATGCTTTAGGGTGTAAAAAATGGCACCAGAAGCTTTTGTTTAAGCATCTGAATCCCTACCACTGTGTCAAGGACTGATAACGTTCAAAAAGATGATGTTATTTTAACAGATTTTGTTCTTACCCGTTATTTTTGTATACATATTTTTAGATATACCATAAGCATTTTGCTTTTGGGTAATTCCAGTGTACAAAACACTTACCTCTGTGTAGTTACCAACTGGTTTAATTCTCACTATAGTAGATTGGATGCCATCGTGTGTCTCTTCTGTTCACTGCACTAAATAATCTCCTATCTGTCTGTTGTAGTTTTACACAACACAGCTGCTCGCTTATGTTCCCCTGTCCTGGAGATGGGCGAGAGAATTAAAGGGGTGAAGGGAAAAGAGAGTTGTGGGTTGAAATAAGAACAATCTAATGACTAAACTACAATAATATTGGAAATAATAATAATGATGATAATAATAGTAATATATACAAATGAGTGATACACAGTGAAACTGCTCACCACTTGATGACCAAGGCTCAGCCCATTCCCGGCTAACGATCCCAGAGCAGGGAGAGTCCCAAAACTGCAATCCCAGAATGGAGATAAGAGCCTGAGTGTCTGAGAGACTGAGATGACCCTGAGAGAGGGGTGATCCAGAGGGAGGCAACCTGGAGCAAGAGAGACCCAGCTTCCAGACCAATCCTCACCTATACACTGGGAATGATGTGCATGATATGGAATAGACTACTGGCCAATTTGGATCTCAGTCCTAAACCTAAGGTCAAATCCTGGGCTAGTAATTGGGGCTGTGCTCTCTCACAGCTTCTTCTGTCCCTGCAGACACTGGCACAGCAGAGAAGTTGAAAAGTCCTTGACTGTCCTGGCAGCAACTCTAACCATCAGTATGTTATCAACCGTCTGCTCAGCACAAATCCAAAACACAGCCTCACGCTAGCCACCATGAAGAAAGTTAATGCGGTGCCAGCTGAAACCAGGATACTGTCACAAACCTCTCCTCTTTTGTCTTTTAGGAACAGCTGGTAGCTGCTTGCAGAGATTTTCCACCATGCCATTCTTATTCTGTAACACCAATGATGTTTGTAGTTTTGCTTCTCGCAATGACTATTCATACTGGCTGTCAACTGCAGCAGTAATGCCAGTGGACATGGCACCAATTTCTGGCAGGGCACTAGAGCCCCACATAAGCAGGTAAGAGTATAAGAATTTTAGTTCTTCTGGCCTGGAACCACAAAGACATCATAAATTGTTTTGAATGGCAAATCTTGGGCAAAAACCTGCCCATCTCAGCCAGTAGAGGCACTGTTTTTGATTACTCACCTGAATATGTCAGATATTCAGCGATACTCCAAGAAAACTTGGATTAAAGCTAGGGTCCCACCACAGGGCTTAATTTGCATAGCTGACGTGAGAAGATGGCAGACAATCCTACTGATTGCAGGGATATTTTTTTAAAAACCTATTGTTAATATTGGAGGCAGACTAAAATGAAATAAAGACAGCTTCATTATTTGGAATACAGTACAAATCAAGTTCTGCTTTCAGTTATGTGTGATACGTTTACTGTAGTGGCTGAAGAACATTGTAACGGGCTGAAGGCTCTCTGCTATAAAACACCCTTGTGCAAGAGGCACAGAGAGGCTTTAGAACAGCTGAGAAGGATGAAGGGCATCTTAAGGGGATGAAAGACCAAGAGTAGAAAATCAAAGATGGGAAGGCAAGCTTTGCAGTCTGTCTCCTAGCCTGACCTACCCAGGTGTTGCAATCTAGTAGCTCAGCTTCATAGTTTCTTCATCTTGTGCAAATGTGGCCCTTTCTAGTTGTTTTAGAACAGCTGAGAAGGATGAAGGGCATCTTAAGGGGATGAAAGACCAAGAGTAGAAAATCAAAGATGGGAAGGCAAGCTTTGCAGTCTGTCTTCTAGCCTGACCTACCCAGGTGTTGCAATCTAGTAGCTCAGCTTCATAGTTTCTTCATTTAGGACATAAAGATTACTTTTTCTAATCTTAGCAAATAAAGGTACAGAACTTAGATCTAAACCATAACAAAATAAAGTAGTGAGCACATGAAGAAGGTAAAATTTAACTTGTTACTTCAGTAAGACAAAACTAAGAAGCTCAAATGTTGTGGGACTAATTCCCATTTTAGACCAATTTTTTATCTGGTGTTACTAGTAGTGATTGCAAAGCAATTGCAAAGCAAGGTATTTGTGTTACCATAATTTTACTCATCTCATTAAACAGAGAAAACCTGTGTGAGTTCTAACATTTATAGTAAGCCCTGCCTTTAGGTAGCTGCTATCCTAGAAGATAAAATTCTTCTCTACTTTCATGTTTTCCCTCATAGCTGCACTGAATGTAAGCACGTTTCTTCTCATAGGTGTGTTGTTTGTGAAGGAGCTGCAATGGTAATAGCAGTTCACAGCCAAACAACTGTAGTTCCTGCATGTCCAGAAGGCTGGATATCTCTCTGGAAGGGTTTTTCTTTTGTTATGGTAAGGATATAAAAACTTGAATTATTAATTTTATGTCCTCTCACTTTCATTGGTGTTTTCATTTGCCCATAGCTCATTTGCTTCTTAATAATTGTTCAATTCTTTTTTTTTTTAACTTTGACAAGAAGTAGACAATAATTCTACTAACTCATATTCAATGCCAGATGCATAGGAACAACTATTCTGATCTGTCCTCAAAAACAGGTGGCAGGAGGAAAAGGGGAAAAGATGAAAGAAGAACCGTAGGATTTTAATCTGACAAAAATAACTGCATGCTCTCATTTTCATGAGTACTGCTAAGACCTAAGAAACAGGTTTTGGCGAGTGGAGTGGTTAAACCAGTCCTGAACACAAATACACAGAAATAACTGACCCTCTTCCATGCTAGGCAGTTCTTTCATAAATTGGATCTTGGGGCTGAACTCCACAGAACGCTAAAATCAAAACAAATGTACCACACTGTCTACAAAAGACTGCCTCAGCAATTTTGATGCCATAACAAGATATGAGTGAAGAAAGTTCATAATGTAACTGCAAATTGAAAACTGATTATGGGAACAAGGGTGTATCTATACTAGGAGACGCAGCACTTCATCTTTGTTATCCATGCCTGTGGGATGTCATACGGATGCCAGCAAATGAAGATAAATCACAGAATTAAAAACGCCTCTTTTTTGCATGATGTAAAGTCCTTTTAGGTCTAGTGTGAAATTTGTTGGGATTTGGCCCCAAGTAGTAATAATCTTGGAAAAGAACAAGAGACTCTTTCCAGCAGCTGGTTAAAGTCATTTGCTTATTTCCAACATCAGCAAATTTAAATGATATTTTCTAGCCAATTTTCTACGGTTATAAATTATTTTAGAACTATTTCTACAAGCATTTACCAACATCAGAGAAGGAAAATGCTTCCTTTGCTTTTTGTGTTTGGAGAAGCAATCAATGCAACAAAGAATACGAACAGACACTAAATAGGGGATTTGGCTTATTTGTAATTCAGTTACTGTAGTCCTCAAGTGGACAGGTGCCAGCTACTTTCTACTCTTTATACTGGTAACAGTTTCATGCCTTCTCACGGAGCAAAAAAAAGCCTTTGCAGGGACTTAAGAAATGCTATAACTGTGCTTGAATTTTTGTAAGGCTTCTGTGCTTTATTATAAGTTTGATAAAACTAATCTGTGTTCATTTTGTTTTGTCCAAGATATACCACAGAACACATGGTATGGTTTAGAAAGAGATTTTTTTTTTTCCTGCAGTTTACTAAAAGCTGATGGACAAGTTCTCATTAAAAATTTATTGGTGGTTACAGTATACAAGTGCCGGCTCAGAAGCTTCTGGCCAAGCATTGGCATCTCCTGGATCTTGTTTGGAAGAATTTCGAGCCATCCCATTCATAGAGTGCCATGGTAGGGGGACCTGCAACTACTACACAAATTCCTACAGCTTCTGGTTGGCATCATTAAATCCAAGAAGAATGTTCAGGTAAACCGTACTTCCCTTCATCCACATGCATCACATTCATGTTGCAAGTGTCCAAGGGGTGCCCCAGGTAATTCCCATCAGTTTAGAGATCCCTTGTTGTTAGGTTTATGGTCATTCGTCACACAAAGACACCTTAAGTGAGCCAAGGATTTCAGTGTTGTTGTCAGTAGTTCCATATCCAAAGTTTCATAGTCTCTATGGTTTTTTTTAAAGAAAAAGTAAATGTTTGTTTTATTTCTTCTAGGAAACCTCTGCCACAGACTTTGAAAGCAGGAGAACTAGAAAATATCATCAGCCGTTGTCAGGTCTGCATGAAGAGACCAGTCTAAAATGAAACTCTGCTTTTATTACAAAGAATTGCCTAACTCTGAAGAGCTATAATTTATTAAAGTCCAACTGCATCTGGAAAGAAAATTATAAACTGCCAGTGCTGCCCTGTGGTGAGGTAGGGCAACAGTTTGACTTTTGTCTTTGGCAAATGACAAAGCACTTTATTGGAGAAAGCTTGTAAGGGCAGTCTGCAGAGGCTGCTCCTGAACTGTGTCATTTCTAAGGTACAACTTAATGATAAAACCATGGCATTACCAGATCTTTAATGAAAGGTGTTAATGCTGCCTTGTGTCACGTGCTTTTCAAACTGCAAGACAAACTAAATGCTCTAATATCAGCTTACATATGTTCAGTGTTCAAAGTGGATATAATTTAAAATTAAAATCCGGCACTTATGAGAGATAGGGTCCAATAGGAAGTATTTTCAGTGGACTTTTAAATATATATTGATTCATTTAGGGTTGTTTTGGTTTTCTTGTCTAATAAACAAGCATCTCCCCACTTACCTCACCCTTCCTCTGGCTGGCAAAGAGGAATACAATCTTTTTTGTATCACTATAATAATAATGGTTCTTGACCAGCCAGAAAGGGAGCTACACTGTGCACTGGGCAGCCAGTCCAGTGCTGACATGCACTAGATGTGTTCTCCAGAGTGACTACGGCTACGGGCTGACTAATGAAAGTGTTGGAAAGTTTTCATTAGATTCCATGGCTTTTGGCACAGATCATGAGATCTTTTGAATTCTTCAAAAGTTGACAGTATTAGGCCTTTTTTATGATCACATGCTTCTGTCTCTACTGAAGAATAACTATTTAGCATATCATATTTTGGGATTTTGATTGAATTAGCAATTACTGTATGGCTCAAGGGCTCCCATGGCATTGTCAGGTTATCACACACCCATCAGATGTGATCTCTTTCTATTTTATTTTTAATAGATAACAAAAGATATAACATTCACATTTTATAATATTCTATATTTAAATATTTATCACAATTTTTATTCCATATTTAAATATTTATCACACATTTCTGCAAATGAAACCATTTATTCCATCCAGTTAAAGCATGCATCCAAAATTTTAAAAAGACTATTTAAATTGTACCATCTGAGCACTGACTTATACAAGAGAATCCAACTGTACATGAACATACTTGAAAAGCACTTTCATTTACTCGTATAACTTATATAAAATTGTAGCTCTGAGGTTTTTTTTTTATATTTATAACATTGCACTTGCAAGGCTATTTAAAATTGTAATGTTAACATTTAAAATGTTTTTTTTAAATACTTGCACAATCTATCAGAATTCCAGTATTTAGTATTATAAAAGAAGCCTAATTCATCTAAATATTTCTGTAAATGCATAATTTTAAATGTAGGGTATAGCAATTCATTGAAGTAACTAAGAATTCTCATTTAGATCTTTTTTAAGCCAGTGACATTTTATATTGTTTCTGTTGAAATACTTGCATTGTGTTTGTCTGACTGTTTGAATTTTCAGTGTTAACCTAACTAAGAAAAAGTTTAATCTGTGTCTCATGCCAGTATCTTCTGATGGAGCTAACGTGAAGATACCATTTACATGAACTGAATGCGTATTTTTAAATTATTGTTTGCTTGAACAGTCATAGTACTTCTGTTTGCAAGGTATAATTGTGAATTTGCAGGTTTTTATGAAGAATCTCTATGCAGATGCACTACTGATAAGAAGGTGTTAATGTCAAGATAATATTTAGTCTTCCATTTGAACCAGGTTTGGGGATGGGGGTGTTTTCCTTAAAACCATCACATATTAGATTTTTCTATTTAACTCTGAAGTTTGCTTTAAATACTCAAAGATAAAATCCACACCCAGTGCTTGTTAGGTTGTTGGTTTTGGGGTTGTTTTTTTTTCTATTAAGGCTGATAGCAGTCACCCAAAGGCATTGTATACTGTATACAATTGATGACTGTGAAGACCCTCATGTAAAACTTGCTAGTAAAATGCAGAATGTAAGTAAGTAGCTGAGGTTGAAGTCTGCTGGAAATGGTCAGTAGCGGATAACGTGTATGGAGAAGGGAATGGATTGTGTTTTTAAAGTCCAAAGGTAAGTTACAAAGAGTTAACGTTGCTCGTGCAGCACATAGCTGGAAGTTATGCCTTGTTCCCAATTTTGGATTCCACTGCTCACTTATTGTGTGGCCTTCAACAAGTTACTAAAGAAAGATTTTCATAAATAGCTTCAGAGTGCTCAAACTCAGGCTTTCTTTCAAAAGCATGAAACGCAACTGCAGGGACACATACATTTATCAAGCCCAGCGTAATACAAGCTGGACTCTGAAAAGTGAAGAAAAACTTGAAAAAAAAGTTGATCTTAACTTCTCTCTGCAGATGCAGATCATTCTACTTCCCTACTGCTAATGATTGTTGTGAAGATTAGTTAACTCTTGTCTGTAAATGCTTTGAGAGCCTTAACTGGAAAATGCGGAAGAGGTGCAAGGTGTTAATATATTGTACTGAAAGAATGGAAGCATGAGAAATCAGAAATAATGAGCAAATGGCTGAGGGGGGAGAAAGGAGGAAAGCAAACCTTCTGCTAAATACAGCCAAATAAAAATATTTTGATTAAATAAAGGACTCATTTCACGTGTTCTTTTGTTCTTCCCAGTGCTAGTGATCTTTTCCAATACCTATGCATAATATTATTTACCAAAAAAAAGTGTCATGTGGTTAAAAGTCAGTAGGTGGAGTTTGCCCTCAGAAAGATGCTCCCTCTTTCCTACTTGGACAACACGAGAAGTCCAGCACTTCAGTGTAGATACCCAAGCTGGATCTCTGCATGCTGCCTTTCTTCCTAGACATATTTCTACATAGGACAGCAGGACGAGCTGGTGACACACAGTGGTTTTGATCTGGAACAACTCAGCCATGTTCTTCTCTTCTGCTGTGTTCATTTGTATTTTCTCCTGGATTCATATGCACGAAGCACAGGTGGGGGGCAAGCTGCTGTTGACAGAAATAGTACGAGAGAAGGGGATGTGATGACACTGAGGAAAAACTAGGAAGATGAAGAAGGCTGGCTGATGGGACACCAGCAGCCCCGGTGTCACGACCAGCTTGCACCCACAGCACACAGGTCCATGCTCCATCCTGGGCCTTGCCTGAGCTCTGCGTAGGTAGGCTTGTGCCCAGCCCTCTCCCCTGCTGCTCCCAACTTCCTCATTTGTCTGCGACCTGGGCTCTGATTTGTCACCTTGCATTTGCTTGATGATGGCTGGATGGTCAACAGAACCTTTTACTGTCACCAGCCCAGCTCCGTCTTGCTGTGCCCAGTATGGTGGGACTGTGCCCTTTCTGGGGAGATTGCTGTCCTGCCCAGGCGGAGGTTGTCTTCCTCTGTGGAAGGAAGCCACTCCTGCAGCTTGCTGACAAACACTCACAGCCTGCCTAGGGAACCATGGTAACTCCAGGTTCAAGAACGGAAAGGACTAGCCACCAGGGAAGCCAAAACCTGTAAAAACTAGAAAAGAGTAGGACTTGTAGTGTTTACTCAGACCAAAGATAGCAGGACTTCTGTCTCCTCAGACAGAAGACAGTACCCAGAGGTATTCTGTAAGCACACACAGACAGACAAAGCAAGATTGTGTGAAGCAGAAAGAAAAAGACACACCTAAAACTACCAAGATTACAGTGTTAAAATACCAAAGACGTATCTGACCATCAAACTGATAGAACAGTGTTGTATGCAACATTCTTAAGGATGGCCTTTTAAATCACGGAACAAGAAAATCAAGGATAGCTGCAGAGAGATCTGAAAAGTGGCAAATAAAATTATTTGTGCTAGGACTTCTACACAATGAGAAAATAGAAAGAGCATCCTGAAAAGCCTGGGGGTACAGGGGGGGTACAGCCTGATGCAATTCTTTTTGAGGTCTGACAGAATACCTGACCAGCCTGATGTAGTCATGACCTACTAGTGGTCATCCATAACATGCTACTATACTAGACCACCACCTGAGCTCTTCTGGAGAATTTCCTGTGGATTAGAAGAACCCAGGTGACTAGTCTGTGGCCACTTTTATTTTGTGGCCGCTCAATTTATGAACAACAATCAGATATTCAATGTTACAGTTACATAAATGATCTCAACATCTATCTATGGGGAACCACGGAAGAAGGACCACACTTCTAGTGTGCTTCAAGAACCAGCTTTAGACTTTTTATAGGTTGGTTTTGGTTGTTTTTTTAAGACTAAATCCCTAGGGATAGTTTGTAAATCTTAGAGCTTGGAAAAGTGGTAAAACTGAGGAGGACTTGCCTACAGAATGATGGGGATTGTCTGGTCAGATGTGCTTGGGTCAAAAATTTATGTTTCAAGGAGGTCAAATGTAAGATCATATTTCTAAAGGCAAATAATGTATAATTCTCAGTGTTATACAGGTTTTATTTTTATCTAGTAGGAGATCATGTTTCAGACCATTAGCCTCTGTAGAACAGTGCTGTTGGTATTTGTAAGAACAGAATTAGCAAGTTGTGGGCCTTGGATCAATACACACTTCAATACCTCTGGCATTGCTACTCCTTTTGACCTCCAAAACATTATTTTGACAATCAATCAAAACATAGGGAAAGCTCAGAGGCTACTTCCCTCTCTTTAAAAAATTATCTCCTGTATATAATAGCATTTTTCATTTTATTTTTCTGTATGGAATTGGAAAATCGATAGTTACCCACACCCCAAGGAAACAGCCCATGCTGCGAGCGAGGGCCGGTGCCAGAGAGGTCCCCTAACGGAGCCCCTGGAAGGGTTTTACCGACCCAAGGAGACGGTGCCCTGCCGCTCAGAACTGATGGGCAAGCGGGGCTGAAGTGGGACGGGAAATGG